CCCCCAGGATCCCCCCCCCCCATCTCCAGGAATTTCCCAACTGACAGTTGTTGGCAATCCAAATTTAAGTAGCTTGTTCAGCAATAAAAAAAAGGAAGTAATGCCCATGAAGAATGCCTTTCTCTCACCTTTGACTAAATTATAAGCAACTCCCCATTTCCCAATTTGACACTGGGTTGAATCCAGTAATTTTTTGTTGTTCAGTCTCATGATATTTGCTCCTTACTACAGCCCATATGGCTTTCTCCCATGTAGGTCCTACGATTCCCAGCATAGCCTTTTTTGTGGCTCCGCCCTTTTTTTAACCAGGAGAAAAGCTGGTTGGTTGAATCCAACCAATTAGCAGAATGAACTACCAAGACAGGCAGGGCAGCTCCCCGGTTGCTGTTGGAGGCCAGCGTTCTTCAGGTTATTGGAGAATTTCAGCAGTTATACTTGTATTTTTGTCAGAGATTTTTTATATATATGTTTAACACTTATTGTCACTTTAATTTTGTAAACTGCCTTGGGGGGTGTATAATTTTTTAAAAAATAAACATTCTCCAACCTCATTTTTTTCCCCACTGAAAGGAATTCTACACGTGTTCAGAGACAGGGCAGGTCAAAACAGCCCTCTGTGTCTCGCAATCCAAAAGGTGGCAAATCGTAATAAAGCACGGGGAGCAACAGCAGTGGTGCGTCTGGACACACAAACGCGCGCAAATGCAAAAAGAGCAGGAGGAAATTTTATACAAAACAACATGTCAGTAATCCGGATTTCTGCTGATTCCCCCCCCCCCCCCTACCTGAAAAGCACCAGCTCCTGGTTTGACTGGGGCTGGAAGAAAGTGACGACAGGGCGAGGGGCGTCGTCCTTGTCGCCTTCCATTGCTCACCCGCCCGTTCTTGAGGCGGCCCGTGCCATGCCGTGCTGTGCTTTGCTGTGCTAGGCGGGGGAAAGGGTCATAATGGGATCAGGCCTCCATGGTTGCCCTGGAAACCGCCGCCGGGCTGGAAAGCCGCCGGCTTTTTCTTGCTGCTGCCGCCGCCGCGTGAAGAAGGGAGCAAGACTAGAACAGGAAGCTTCGGGGGGCGTGTGGGTGGAGGAAGAGTTGCCCCGCCACTAGGCGGAGAGGTACTAAAGCTGGGGATGGGGCGGGGAGTGGGTAAGGGGATGCACACAGATTAAGACATCTTCCCCAGGCTTCTTCCCACGGTCGAAGGTGACTTTGGCTGGGTGGGGTAAGGAAGGGGAAAGGTATTGATAAAGAGAGCAAAATAGATCTTCCATGTTCAGATGCAGTCTACCACCGCTGAAAATCAGATCCTTGAGAGGGGGGAAACAAGAGGGAAAGGGCTCTTTGCATTTGTGCTCTGCTGATATTTTGCTCTACATCTGATCCAGCAAGACAGTTCTTGTGGAATCACAGCCCAGGCTGGAGATGGTTTCTAGTATATGTGGCTTTTAAGGTCAGGGGCTCTAATATACACACACAGCTATTGTAAGCCATGAGAAATGGAACCTCCATCTATAGAGACAGTATACCATATGCTGTGTCTGGACTAGTACAAAACCACCTGTTAGTCCAACATGGGCTGCCCACTGTTGTGCAAGTGCAACAGAACAGACTAAATTGGCACAATCACAGTTCAGTAGTGTAGCTTAGGCACTCACAGTGCAATCCTGAAAACACTTTTCTAGGAATAAGCCTCACTGAGTAGATGCAATAGGATTGCTAGTTAAGAACTGGAAGTGTGGGCCAGTTCCTCTCTGCTTCAGATCTCCCCTGCCCTGTTGCAAGAATGAATCATTACTGATAAGTGGTCTTTGCTTTATTTTATTCTTGTTCACAGAAGCATCAGGTTAAAACAAATGACACAACAATGCAGTCAGGAAAAGAAATTAAAAGACTATATTTCAATACCCATTTCATGGAGTTCTTCATGAAGGATATAATGTATATTAAAATATAATCTTATTTCTTTTGGGAGACAGAAGGTGTGGTTAGAATGTCATACTAGGATTTGAAGGAAAGAGCAAGAGTCCAGTAGAGCACCTTAAAGACTAACAAAATTTGTGGCGGGGTATGAGCTTTCATGAGTCACTGCTCACTTCTGAAGAGGTAACATGATTCACAAAAGCTCCTACCCTGCCACAAATTTTGTTAGTCCTTAAGGTGCTACTGGACTCCTGCTCTTTTCTACTGCTAAAGACAGACTAACATGGCTACTCATCTTGACCCAGGTTCAGATTTGCACTCTGCCATGGAAGCCAGTTGGGTGACCTTGAGGCAGTCACATAGACTCAGCCTAACCTACAGGGTTGTTGTGACAATAGAATGGAGGAGGAGGAGGATGTAAGATGCTTTGGGTCTCCATTGGGGAGAAAGGAGAGGGTATAAGTGAAGTAAATAATAGGGTGAAGGTCCTTGTATCGCCAATGGGGACACAAAGCGGCTTGCAAATGCATTCCCCCCTCCTGCATTTTGTCCTAACAACAACCCTGTGAGGTAGGTTAGAGGGCTTTAAAGTGGGAACTTTTAACCCAGTCTTCCATATCCTACTCTGATATTCTAACCACATCAGCTATCAACCCTAAGAAGTATGATTTTGGCACTGGCACCAGTATTTTCTCCACCTATCCTCACAGACTGGGCTGCCAGCTCTGTGCAGGGGTTTTTTTTTTGGTATTATATATGCTCCTGTGGGCCATCCAGTTCTCATAGATTACATGATTATGCACCTGCAACTCCACCGGTCCCCTTTCTGTCCGAACGGCAATGGAGTTGTATCAAGAGTATTATGTACTCTCTCTTCTCCATGCGATCAGAGATGGGGAGTATAGGAATGTTGATGCTAGCCTCTCCCATTACATTGTGCCTTCTTTTTCAGAGCACTTCTTGTGAGCTTCTAGGCTGTCATCGAGCCCTGGAGGCATGCAAGGCTCTCACGGAGACATACCCTAAAGGTACCATTTCTGTCTCATCCACTCCCTGCCTTTTCCAAGCCAAAAGACAAAGACTTCCTTGCAAGTGGGCTTGCCTCATTTCTTGCCCACATTTTCCACACTGCTGCAAAAGTCGCAACCACTCCCCTTTTGCACAACCTGCATCTTGTCATGGGAAAGCTCAGCTAAGCTGCTGGCATAGCCCCTACTGCAACCCTACCTCGTTGCCAAAATGGCGTTGGCATCTGGTGATCATATACCCGCCCTTCCTGTTTTGAGAGACAGCAGGACCAGCACTTGTACAAATGTCATCTAGACTGGTAGAGATGCTGCTCCAGACAATACTGGCAAAAACCTAGCATCTCTTCCCCACACAAATGTGCCATAGTAGGGGCCCACAACTGGCACTTCCTGGGCAGTGTAGCGGTGCTAACATGGATCTTTGCAAGTGAGCAATGGGAAAGAAATAATTTTGTTGCAGAAGGAAGACCTACCTAACGTTAAAATGGGACTAATAACAAGGGATTTCCTTTTCTGAAGTTTTCCAAGACTTGTTTCTTTCTTCTCTCTTTTAAGCATTTCTCTAAGGCCAGCCTGCCTACGATGTCCAAGGAAAAAGCCTCCTGACTCTCTATCCAAAGGCTACAGTAGAAGCCGGCACTATTTGGCCAGTGGTTATACAGGTATACAGAGGGTGTGGTCCAGAGGAAGGCAGCAGGGATGCAGGCCAGTTGGAGAGGGATTTGTATCATGACCTTATTGTAGTCATGGTTTTTGTATACAGTTTTGGCAAGAGCCTTGCTGGATCAGGCCAACAGGCTATGCCGTCTAGTATCCTGTTTCCCACAGTAACCAACCAGATGGCCCCTGAAGACTTGCAAAGCAGGGAATGGAGGTCAAAGCCTTCACCTTGTTCTTGTCCCCATCGTTGGGTATTTAGGTACACTGCCCCTGAATGTGGAGGTTCCATTTAGCAATCAATAGACTTATCCTCCATTAATTTGTCTAATTCTTTTTTAAAAAATGCATGTTAGTGGGCATCAGTATTCTCTGGCAGTGAGCTCCATACATTAATTGTGTTAATGCATTGGGAAAGAAAGTATGCACTTCTGTCTATTGTAGATCTGGTGTCCATCGTTTTATCAGGTGGCCCTGCATTCTGATTTCACGAGCCAGGACGAAAAAGGTCATCTCTATCCACTTTCTCAACACCACACATGATTTTATAAAGTTCTGTTCCCACAACCATTTCTTATAAGACAGCCCACCGGTTAACAAAAAATTATTTAACTGGCTGACAACTCTAAAAATGTGCAAATCTGAAACTCGAAGCGCCAATATGTTTTGTGGTTGTTTGTGGGGGAGGGGGGGAGTGGAGGTGTTTGGAGCAGAATTCAGTATTAGAGTTTTTAAAAAACCTGAAAGCTTTAGAAAATGATTAGGTTGAAAAGAATTTGTCTTAGAGAAGACAGTTTCAGAGGGCAACCATGTTGCTCTGTAGCAGAACAATTAGATCTGAGTCCAGCAGCTCCTTAAAGGTAAAGGTTTCCCTTGCTTGAGAGCTAGTCGAATCCAACTCTAGGGGGCGGTGCTCATCTCCGTTTCCAAGCCAAAGAGCCAGCGCTGTCCGAAGTCTTCTCCGTGGTCATGTGGCTGGCATGACTAAATGCCAAGGCGCACGGAATGCTGTTACCTTCCCACCAAAGTGGTACCTATTTATCTACTTGCAATTTCTTGCTTTTGAACTGCTAGGTTAGCAAGAGAGCAGCTCCTTAGAGACCAACAAAATGTTTGGATTAGAAGCTTTTAAGAGTGAGATCTGACTAAGGGAGGTTTGACTCTTGAAAGCTGATACCCTGAGAATCTTGAATACCCTGAAAATCTTGAATCTAGCTGTTTAAGAAAACCACCCTTTGGAGCTGAGGGAAATCCACTGATTTTAGTAATGAGGCGGGGGGAATGGAATCCTAAGTTTGTTTCTATGTCCATAACACCACAGCTCTTCTTTATACCTCCAAGGCCAGGGAGCAACCATGATGCCCTCCATTGTAACTGATGTCTAAAGTTTGCCTGAATGAATACAGCCTTCGGAGCCATCCCCATCCTGTTCAGGCATCCGTCTGCCTATGGTCTGTCTCGGATCACCAGCAGTCTGTACCTCAGCAATGGGGAGGCGGCCAACAACAAGCTCTTCCTCTATGCCAACCGGATCACCACTGTTATCAATGTCTCCGTGGAGGTGGTCAACACCTATTTCCCAGACATTAACTACATCCACGTTCCCGTCACCGATGCCCCCTCAGCCCGCCTCTATGACTTCTTCGACGCTGTGGCTGATAAGATCCATGCGGTGGAATTAAACGAAGGCCGCACCCTGGTGCACTGTGCTGCGGGCGTCAGCCGCTCCGCTGCCCTTTGCATGGCCTACCTGATGAAGTACCATTCGATGTCTCTGGCCAAAGCGCACTCCTATGTCAAGGCCTGCCGTCCCATCATCCGGCCCAACATCGGCTTCTGGCAACAGCTCATTCAGTACGAGCACAAACTCTTTGGGAAGACCAGTGTCTCGATGGTTCGGTCTCCGCTGGGGGTGATTCCTGATCTCTACCAAAATGAAGTCAGGGTCATGATAGCCTTATGATTAGCACTGAGTGGGCGGCGGCAGGGGACAGAGCACGGCAGCACGACACAAAGAACACCTACGCCATCTTCACTAAGTTGGGCACTTTTCAGTCTCAGCACAGCCTACACCCAGATGCCGTGCAAGGAAAGAGGACTGGCTGATAGGAAGGCGATGCTCTGTGTGGTTTTTCTTCTTCTATAAATAAAAACAAGGAACATTGGGGGGAGGGGGGAGGGTAAAGTCTGCACCTGGCTCTGAAAGAGATCCTTTGGTGAAGCTGGATGCCTTTTGTTCAGGACAATGCTGTTGTGTTTCAGCAAAGCAGCGCCACTGCGATAGGTGATGTTTGACCGGGGCGGGAGGGGGAGGCTGGCCACCTCTGAGATGTTCTAGGTCCCTTTCCTGAACATGCAGCTTTCAGTGGGAAAAGAAGCCACGGCGACAGCCAGCACAAGGGCCTTCTTCTTCCTGTGGTTTAAGGAAAACTGAACAAGCCGGATGTTACCCACTTGTTCAGTAGGAAGTCAGCTCGCTCCTGATCAGTTAGTATAAAGGCTTACTTCTGTTTTATTAAAATGACGTTTTGCAACCATAACATTACTAGACTATTTGTGTTTAGGTTTGTGCATTGACCAGTGACACTCCTTCCCTCACAGTGTGCTCCTAGGCACCTCGTCACCACCACGACGTTTCCTCCAGCAAAGCAAGATACCAGGGCCGTTTCCCTCACAGGCTTGCCGCAGTTTGGCTGCCAGCCTGCAGCACTGCCTCCTCTCCCCCCCCCCCCCCCCGAGTTTCCTCATGTCCTCATTTTCTATTTGCAGAGAGATAACAAATGAAAAACACCATAAGGAAGCTTGGAGAAAAACTAGTACAGGTCAGCCACCCAAGCCATGGGTAAACCTTTGCATGAAACAATGGCTCAAAGACTGTTCAGAGTACTGGTTGCAATACTATCCTCTTGCTCGGTTCCTGTCAGTGGTGTACGCAAGAGTACTGCCACGGATGTGGATTGGACTCCCAGGGGTCAGATCTGTTCATCAGTCACCCATAGGAGCATCCCAAATCTGCCATTTGAAGTGGATTCTTCCCCTTGCCTGTCTCTGCATACACATTTCTGCAAATGGATTCTGAATACAGATAGGAATGTTTTCTTTGGATTAAAAATGTGCTTTATTAGATGCATTTTAAAGTTCCTGATACAAAAAAAAAAGCTTCTTACTAAACAAATGAAAAAAGTGAGTTTCCGAGTAATTTGTTTCAGCTTTTCACAAAGTCTTTGAGTCCCCAAAGGGACCTTTCTCAGCCATTTCTAAGCCTCTTTCCTTCAGCCAAGGATTCTGTGATTCTTCTTACTCATAACTCCCTGTCGTAAGAGAATCTACACACGCAGTCTAGCCCTCCAAAAAAAGGGATGACTGATGTAACACGGGAAAGGTCAAAGGATCAGTTCTCTCTTGGCAAGGTGGAATCCACACAGTTCAACCAGAAATTAGCACAGCTGGCATGATAACAGCTGCCCTGGTACATAACGGGGTCAGAGTTTCCAGTCTGCACCTGCCAAAACAAATTAAGAATTAATTGCAGGACACTTGCTCATCCGTAACAGATGACAAGCTTGCTTTACAACAAGTGCTGCCTACAAAGAGTGGCCAACTTTTCCCCCCTTCTCCAAGAAGGACACCAATTTTAGTAACAGGCAGTCTGTATTTAGAGTAGAGAGAAGTGCAGTCTCCCACTTTCACTCTGGACAAAGCTTGGTGGGCTTGTATTTTCTTAACAGCTGCCTTAGGTTTGCCATTCTGGAAATCGTTTTGGATTATGGAAGTCCCAGTTGTGGCAGTGAATACAGCGGAAGGGTTTAACTTTGTGTGATTCTGCATCTGGCATTCGCTCCACATTTTCTCAACACTGAGGAAAAGGTGCAGCTCAAAACCGCTTTCAAATACCCCGGGGGCAATGCCATACTGACTGCAAAGTCACCCCTGAACAGCCATAAATCTATGCAGAATGTACCATAAAACCTGACGATCAAAGAAAGTAAAAGCGGCATGCAATGCAGAGGGTACCATAAAATCCAACGATCAAAGAAAGTGAAAGCAGCATGCAACGCAGAGGGGAATTTCTGTTCCAACATGGGTTTGGTAAAACAACGGAGGGAAAAGCCAATGCAGAATTGCCTTTTAGTGGTTCTGGAAGTGTCACCAGTACAGTTGATCTCTGCACATGTCCAGCAGAAAACACATTACACAGTATCAGTGTTGTTTGTTTCCATAGCACCAGCTTCAAGCACAGAAACATATGAAGCTGCCTTCTACTCAGACCCTTGGTCCATCAAAGTCAGTATTGTCAATTCTGATGGGGAGCAGCTCTCCAGGGTCCCAGGTTGTTCACATCACCGAATACCTGATCTTTTTAAGTGGAGATGCTGAGGACTGAACTTGGGCCTCATGCATGGAAAGCAGATGCTCCACCACTGAGCTACATCCCCTCCCTGAGCTGTCCAAACCTGTCATGAGGACCATCACTTATCAACTAGTCCCTGGTATTTCCAGTGCCATTCTGGTACAAATGGGATCACAACTGCACTGTGGAATTCTGTCAAAAACATAAGTAAGAAGCATCTCTTTGGGACAGCATTAATCCAAACACTACAACATGCATGCAAGCTCTTCGGGCAGTATTTTGATGGGGCAATAGGAAAGTAATACATTATGTTTTTGACAATTACCTCTGACTCCTGCTTCACCTCTGTTAGGCAAACCCCACAGACATGACCCGGTGCCAGGTTAGGACCAGGCTGATGAGAATCACCTTCTGCTGACGGCTCCAAAAGCTTCAAGTTCCATTGGTAAAGGCAAAAAAGGGGCAGGGAGGAAACAGAGGTTTTAAACCTTGCCTTTTCTCTTACAAAACCAGTTTTAGTGACATCGTTATTGAGACTTCAGCCCCAATGCTTTATTTCTCTCCTCCACCACCCAAATCTACTATGTTTACACTCACAGACTGGAATGTCTTACCAGCATTTGGAACAGGGGATGACCAAAGACCAGAAAGGACAGTAAATTATTCCAGGCTAAGTCCACCTCTCGCAAAGCATGCTGCAGCAGTTCACTTGCTAGCTGCCGAGTCTTCACCCCGTCTTCCATACGCTTAGATACCCGGTACACCTCAGACAGGCCTGCATGTGAGAACAAACAACAAGGAGTATTGCATGCTGACCCACACATACAGCAGAGCATGGTGGAGTACAGAGGACTTTCTGGCACTTCAGCCTGTGGGTCGAATGCTCCCCTTCGTAGAAATGGGACAAGCCACTCTGCCATCTCGAGCGCTTGTGCCTTTCTTTATCAGGTCCACAGAGGAGTTTACAACATTTGAAAATAACAATTTGCACTGTTCCTCAACCTCCCTCACGCATTCCCTCTACAGCATCGTCTAACTTATTCCCACTACACACCATTTCTGCAACGTGTTAAAGAGAACCCACATCAGCACTGAAGCATGGCCTCCCTAAAACAGTTGCATGCCTTCAAGTTGTCAGTGCCCTGAGACATCACCCTCTGGCAACTGCCTGAAGGCTACTGTTGCCCGGGACTGGAGAGCTTTCAGAATCCCAGAAGAAGCCACTACAAAGAGGAATCATACAATATTCTGCTTCAGGTGCAATTCCATTGGTAGGTCATGAATGGCAGTTTCCTGGATGGTACGGTGTCTACTGCTTTCTTCCTAGGTCTAGAGACTTTTTAAGGAGCCAAAACAGAAAACAGCCAGGTGCCGTTCAAGACTAGGCCTAATTCTGCATGCTGTCAAAGTTTGATTCTCCACAGTCTGCACATGGGGGTGCTTTGTGTATGCTATTCTTGTAATCTGTTCACAGATTCTACACAGAAGTGGGCAAAGACCTCCATATCTTGGAATTCCCAAGTCTGGGTTTGCTTTGTTACAGGTCTAGCCCTCGTGAATGCATAGATGAGTGTGAAGGCATCTAGAAAGGACTTGGTGACTTCTTCCCTAGCTCCCATTCATTTCAACAGAGCTTGCGCAACAAAACTCATGGTGGGTTGGGCCCAACAAATCAGGTCTGCCCATTGCTCATACTGCTGCCCTTAATGGTGTACCAAAACCAGCAGCTGAAGAAATCATGCCATCTAGGTTCCCAATGGGGTGGTTTCTGCCACCCCTTCGAATGTCAATTTTGTATAAACAAAATGTCCTGCTCTTGTAGTTTTTTATTGTAAACATCAAAACATAGTGCAACATCATCCAACAATGTATAATAATAAAACAGAAACAGAAAGAAACTGGGGAAAACTGGACAATGCAGCAAGAATATTTAAAACTTTCAGAATATACCATACACTTAGTGAATGCATTATAGTGAATCAAGAGGGCAGATATGAGTTGGAACTCCCTCTATCAACGGCATATAATTTAACATCAGAAGCCAAACTGCAGCAAAATCTAAACTAAATTCCATTTTTTCATGCTTTTGTTCTTGAGTGTTGCCACAGACCTGCTCAGACACCAAGCATGAGGATAAATTCCAGATGGGAGATGTCAGAGAACACATTCCAGAGCAAGGAAACTGCTAGAGAGACCATTATACCCAGGCTTTATCATAAACTATACGCATAAATCCTTTGATTCCATACCCAAGATATATGCAGTCCCTGGTTTGGATAGCAGCACCTCACTGCACACAGATGGATGGCTTATGCCTGCAAGGATTTCATTGGCCTTGCCAATTACCTACAGAGGATACAGGAGAGACACGTGAGTAGGGAATGGTAATCTCGGCAAATCAGAGTTCTTTCCCCCATGAACCCTACAGAATTTGTGCCACTAGCAATGTGACATATTACAAAGTCCTTCTGTACCCTCTCTGTGTCTACTCCAGCCCTGTCAATCAGATGTGCTCTGGAAAGTTCATGCTCAGGGCATAATTCCAAGTAATGTAATGGCCTGATTCAGCTCAGGAAAGGGGGAACATAAGCCTTCTTCCCCACATCATTGCACCAACCAGAAACAACCCATGCCACGATTTACCACATGAGAGAAACTTACATGTGTTGACGGGCTAGGGTTTCTCTAGTGAGCGTCTAGGTCATTTCAGATTGGTAAAACATGAGGGAAAAAGCTTAAGCCCCCTGTCTCAGCAGTCCTGATCCAAATTGGTCCCATGGATGTCTGGGAATTAAGTTTTGAGTGCAAAACTCACAGAACATGACTGGTCAACGAGACCAGGGAAGCCATACAGTGAATACGAGGTCTTTGCAACATACAGTTAGATCTTGCGTCACTAATTCGGCATCTGAATATCTGTCCTGGCTAATTTTGTGAGCCCTGGAAAAGGGAGAAATGCAGATTATATAGCCCTATATGTGTATTCTGGCCTCTGTAGTTGTGTATCTTCAAAGACTTCAGACGTATCCCCCCAACCTAGCACAAACTGGCCCCATAGGTGACCACATGGAGATATTCACACACGGTTGCATGCATATAGCCTGTTGCTACATGTGAGAATCAGCCTCAGGATCCTCCATCTTCACTACGTTTTTAGAACTGAGGATCTATGGCAGTGGTGAGCCAGTTTCCATCCTGCATGGTCTAATCAGGGGAGCCCTAGCAAACCTCCGTTCAGTGGGCCTCCTCCCAAATGTGACCACAAAATGGAGAGCAGCAGTGGTGTAGTGTGGGTTGCCAGTGCCTGGGGCAAGGCAAGTTAGCACTCCCTGAGTCCGTTCCACCAGTCCAGTATTGAACTCCTTACCCCCCAAGTACATGTATTGTATTTTAAGGCAACTGTTGCAACTTCTGAAATTACAAATTTTAATTATGGTTTTTATGCAAGTTACGGAACATTACAGTACCGGTATCTTCAAATGGGAAATCATGCTATTAGTAGGCATTATGTATGTAATTCACCGATAAGGATTACATGAGGACAGTACGGCTGTAATTAGCAAGAAAAAGACCGTAAAATGTTACATGGCAACTTTTATTGCCCCGTCATGTTGAAGAACTGTGTAGAATGTTTGAGCATTGGGAGGTTTTCTGTGTGAGGGGGAGGGCGTGCCCCCTAAGAATTTTGCACCCAGGGCACCCACCCCCCACGCTACACCACCGGACAGCAGGGACAGGCAAGTGAATGTTAGCTGTTGATCCTCGCTGCCAGCAAGCCTGTAGCCCGGATTTTTTAAAGTCGGGGGGCATTTAAATTTCTTAGGGGGCACTGGCTAATCGATACCCGGCTCCTTCCCCACACCTGCCACCACTCAGGGGCCCTGGGCTGGATGGGAAGTGGTGGGGCCTTGCCAGTAAGTCAGGGGGCCTAGCCCCGAGATGTCCCACTGTAGTGCTTCTTGCTCATCTACCAGGGCAAACAAGCAGCCTTTACTTGCTTGCCTGCCCTCTCCCTCAGCAGCCATACTGACTATCTGGCAGAAAAGAATGGAGAAAGTGAAGCCACCTCTTCTACCAGTGGTGGCGGCACGCATGGCCAAGAGAAACAGTAGAAGTATGTAGGCCCCATACTTCTAAGAGATCCTCTGTCACCACCTAGGGAGAAAGAGCAGGCTGCAATTGCGGATGGAGCACAGAAATGGGCCCTCCTAAGACCAAGGATCCTCAGCAGCTGCCCAGTGACACCTAACCCTGATGCCAGCCTTGGGTCGATTCCCCCCCCACACACACACACACACTAGAACTCTCCTAGTCCACTAGTGTGTTTTAAATTTACAGCACAAGAATGCATGCTCAAGATGTCTTAGCCAACCTACGTTAATGGATGCAAGAACACCCACTTGCTTAAGAAGCGCCTGGCTGGATACATCTTGTCTAGCACTTTTTGCAACTGTCCCAGCAGCCAGCTGGTGATCCAACAGAAACTAGCCATTGTACTTGTTGTATTACAATCTGCACTCCATTACTTTATGATAGGTCTGGTACACCATCACTTGCCAACTAGCTTTGACTTTTAAAAAGAGCAGCCCTCTAAATATTATGGACAAAGGTCTGGATCTCTTGGAGATGCATCCACGAAACAGAGCTTTCGGGGGCTCTCCGGTATGGTTTCAGTGCCCTGCACAGATACTAGGCACAGCCCAGGAGTAGCACTATTGTACTCTCCTCTGACTCCATTCCCAGACTGGCAAAACAAACATCCTACCCCTTACATTCTTTGGAAACCCGAATCTCAGAAATCAGGACTAGTTATGCAATACACAAACAACAGTGTCTTTAAAAGAACGTGGAGTCCACAAAAAGGGAACAGAAACAAGAGATTGACCCAGAAATAAGTAAGTCAGTGCAATTACTAGGCCACACCAGCAGAGGGGGATAAGACGACATACATATATCACTAGGAAACTATTGGTTTTTTTTAATTCACAGCCGGGCAAGGTATTTATAATTCAATCAATATGAACCCTAACAGACAAGTACACATTAAAAAATTGATTTCCAGGTTAGTTCAGTGTACTGTACATCATTTCTAAATGCAGCAAGCTTTAACAATTTATAAGTCTCGTTAACTTTTTCAAGGTGTTGCTTATGTCCTTTAAAGCCCTACATGGGCTTGGGACCAGGGTACCTGACGGAGGTGCTTCTCCCCTGTGTTGCTGCCTGGGAATGAAGATCACAGGGAGACGTCCTCCTGACTGCCCCACCAAATCAAAGATGCTTGTCTGGTGGGTATACAAAAGAGGGCCTTTTCTGTGGCAGCCCCACAATTAGGTAACAACTTCCCCAGGGAGGTACACCTGGTCCCCTCATTGTCAATCTTCAGGAGGCAGTCGAAATTTTATTTAGGACTGCATTCTTATTGGTTTAGCTTTTATTATTGGCCATCCAATTTAGAGTTTTTAAACCCTTACTTTTATGGGGTTTTATCATTGTTGTTTTTATAATGTTTTACTTATATTGTAAGTCACCTTGAGTTCAGCGAGGCAGCTAATAAATGCTTTAAATAAAGCCCATTCAGACATTTGGGGATCTGGGAAGCAAGACCAACCCTGGCAAAGAAAAGCTTAGAGTTATTTGCAAAATACACTGCAGGACGGCAGGTTTCAACCCCACAACATTTTGGCTGAGAGGCAGGATATAAATCGTTTTTAAAAACCTATCCTAAATAACTGACAAAGGGGATATGAATGATTAAAACCAGAGATCATAAGAACAACATAAGAACATAAGAGACGCCAATGTTGGATCAGGCCAAAGGCCCATCCAGTCCAACACTCTGTCACACAGTGGCCAGAAATACCAGGTGCCATCAGGAGGTCCACCAGTGGGGCCAGGACATTAGAAGCCCTCCCACTGTTGGCCCCCCCAAGCACCAAGAAGACAGAGCATCACTTGCCCCAGAGCCCCTATCTATACCTTGTGGCTAATAGCCACTGATGGACCTCTGCTCCATATGCTTATCTAATTCCCTTTTGAAGCCGTCCATGCTTGTAGCCGCCACCACTTCCTGTGGCAGTGAATTCCATGTGTTAATCACTCTTTGGGTGAAGAAGTACTTCCTTTTATCCGTTCTAACCCGACTGCTCTGCAGTTTCATGGAGTGCCCACGAGTTCTTGTATTGTGAGAAAGGGAGAAAAGTACCTCTTTCTTTACCTGCTCTTTCCCATGCATAATCTTGTAAACCTCAATCATGTCACCCCTCAGTCGTCTTTTCTCCAAGCTAAAGAGCCCTAAGCGCCTTAACCTTTCCTCATAGGGAAAGTGTTCCAACCCTTTTATCATTCGAGTTGCCCTTTTCTGCACTTTTTCCAAAGCTATAATATCCTTTTTAAGGTGTGGAAGATCTCACTTCAAAGAGATCCAAAGTGGGCCCCAGAGAAGATGTCGTAGGCTCCGCACCCCTCAGCTATCCCCACTAGTAGCCATGGGGCACTGGGAAGGGAAGAGAGAGAGAACAAGAAGAGCACGTTGGTGGCAGTTTAAGAAAGGAAAGCTGAAGAGAGACCAGAGGGAGAAAAGGGAATAGGACTGGCAGCTACCTGGAGGAGAAAAAATGGCTGGCTCCTTTAACAGAGGCTTAGTGTGGTCGATTAAGGAGCTGCCACCATTATAAACAACAACTGAAATTTATAGAGCCCTGGCCCTTGGTTTGCTATTGACATCCTGTGCCTGCCGATTACATCTGGAAAAGATCGGTGAACTGAACATCTAGATAAGCTATTGAATGCACTCATACGGTAACGCCATCGCCATGAAATTAAAACAACACTGCTAGCACTTAATGATATTGCACTGTTTCATACTGAACTGTTTTAGATGTTTTATGGTGATTTAATTGTTACCTATGTATTTACTTTTATGTAAGCTACCCTGCGCCTGCCTTGGCAGGGAGGGCAGGGTATAAATTAGAAAAATAAATAAATAAAATAAATAATGGACTAGGTGATGTTATTTACCTCTGTGCCATGAGAAGCCCTAGCTGCCCATCTCCAGACATTAAGGCTCTAATAAAAAGACAGGACCCCCCCCCCCGGCTGTTGGCTATCCTAAAAGGCAGGCGTCTTAAAGAAGAGGAAAAGTACAGCATGTACTCCAAGGCAAGATCAGGTTTCCTCCCCAGACATGACATCGAAATAGCAACAAAAAAGGGAGTCGTTTTATAGTTGCGTACAAGTTACAGTTATCTTCAATTAAAGATTGGGGGTAGATGACTTTTTTTTAGATGGTCATCTTACATTTAGGGTTGCCCTCCTTTTGAGTAAATAGCATAGTCAACAGTGCAATGGGAACAAACAGACTTAAGCGTGGACCTACACTATTTGTCTGGTTCTGCTATCGTTTTGAGAGACTTCTTTTAGAACAGTGATGCTGGAAGAGAAAGCCATACACAAGGACACCTTCACCCTTTCCCCCCTTGGGCCATTTCTCCCTGAAAACCACCACCCACAAGCTGTAACAATTTATAGATATCGGTCTTTTTTCACCAGCAGGGCTAGAAGAAGGAGGGAGAGGGACTGTGGTTTAGTGGTAGAGCATCTGCTTTGCATACATAAGGTCCCACGCTCAGTTCCCAACATCTCCAGTCGAAAGGATCAGGCGGTAGGTGATGTGAAAGACTTCAGTCTGAGTAGACAATACTGGCCTTGATGGACCAAGGCTCCAAATCTGTATTTGGCAGCTTCATGTATTCAAGAAGCCTAGGGAAAGCTGGGTAAGAGTCAGGACCAGTTCAAGTACTTTGTCACCCAGACAAACTACCCCCCCCCCATTACTTCCTGCCATGCTACCACTGGTCAGATCCATCCCCTCTTACACTGCCAATAACCAGCAGCTAGCCAAGGTAGGTGGGAGGATCCTTACCTTATGAATCTGCTGTAGGCATTTTAGCAGATGGGCCGTCTCAGAGGTCATCAGCCTTGGTAGTCTGGAAACTAGAAGAAAGGGTGTACAATGTCACTCACCTAGCATTGCGGCCTTGGGGGAGGGGCTGATTCTATTCCCTTAGGCCAGCATACAGATGAAATAGTCCCAGTATTTTAGCCTCATGCCAAGAAACATGTGCATCAAGCACCTGCTAAAAGGACAGGGCTAGGTCAGAGGGGGTGATCCTTCTGTACCTCTGGATGCTTGTTTAAAAGGGGCTTTCCCATCCCACACGACCCCTTGGCACAGCTGTGCACAGAAGGCCCTATAATAGTTCATCAGCCTTCGGGCTAAGTAGACCAGAAGACTTCTACACCTCCTTCTGCAGATGTGCAAAAGAGGAAATTTCAGGCAGGGCCGGCTCACCCACTAGGCAAACTAGGCATTCGCCTAGAGTGCTGGGCCCTGGATGGGGCACCAAACTGTGCCTCCCCCCACCGCCAAAAGCCCGCGAGCAGCTCTCCAAGTGTCAGCACTTGGCTAATTGGGGAGAGGCATCCGGTGAGCATCCCCTGCCTGGAGACAGGATCCCCCCCCCACCTCCCTCCCAAACTGCCTTTGGAAGCGGAGCATGAGAGAAATCTCTCTTCCATCTTGGAGGGCGCTGCAGGAACATGTGGGGCGTGCTCACTGGGTCTGAGAGCTCTGGGAGGGGGGTAGGAGGCGGTGGCAGCGGTAGCAAAAGGGTGGCTGGCTCCAGAGGTCTCCAGGCCCCACCGGGAGGTTGGCATCTGCGCCACAAGGCAGCCTCACCTAGGGCACAGAAACACCTCGAGCCGGCCCTGATTTCAGGTGCATCCTTTCTTATTCCATCATCTACAGCTGCATGTGTCCAAAATTCCCTCTTCTGCACGAATAGAATTGCCAGCCGGTCTGATGGGGTGAAAGTTCTGTGCCTTGGATATAGGGCTTAATGTATGGATGTGGAGGTAATAATAGCCCGTTAAGCCTCTATTAAAGGGATCAGACATTTTCCCCAGATAGTTGGGAGCCTCAAGTATAGGCAGCCTGTTAGTGTCCCCAATTACTCAAGCAGCAGTTCTGAAAAATGTTTTAATGTACTTGTAAGTTTCTGGGCGGAGGGCACAGCATCTAGATAGAAGCAACATTCCTCCCCATTCCTCGCTCAGGAGCGGATGCCTTTTTTGAGGTCATGCCAACTGGGACATGTTTATGCATCATCTGCAACACAGAGGAAGAATTATTCTTCCTTCCAAATGATTGTTGTTGCCACATGCAAATACACGCAGACAATTACACTCATATAATTAATCTGCTAAGATTTTTTAAAAAAACAACAAATGACAGCCTTATATGACAACCTTTGAAGCTGCTTGCCTCACTTCCTGTCCTGTATCTACAAATTCCACGTGGCAGGCTAACATCAAAGAACAAGCCACTTCCACGGCCAAGGCAGTTCATTTCCTGGGATTTCATGAATGCAGAATTGTGTAGAATGAATCTTGATGATAAACATAGAGGGGTATCGCTGCAGAGGGCAACTAGAAGAGATTCTGGTTCTGGCATCTCCAGAATTTATTTCATTGTTAGAAGGCAGCAGTGTGTGGGGAGAGGGAGCATTAGATTTTTGGTGGGCCTTTGGGATGGGCTTAACACTTTCTCCTAGGCAGTCATCCAGATTTCAGAGCCCCGGCCGTCACCACTTGTTATCTGTCCCGTTTGGGGAAATACACAGGCAAATAATAGCTGTGGGGAGATTTGAAGACAGGGGGTGGGGAGTTAAATCCTTTTCTTCCAGTGTGCAGCCTCAAGCCATACAGGGATGCCCAGGGATGTCAGGTCCCTCCTGCCCACTGTCGCGGGAATGGGGGGGGGTAGGGCTGGCAAATCCAGGTTGGGGAACTCCTGGAGGTTTGGGGATGGAGCCTGGGGAGGATAGGGACTTCAGTGAAGTGCAGTACCATAGATTCCACCCTCCAAAGCAGGCATTTTCTCCAGGGGAACTATTCTCTGTAGTGTGGAGATGAGCTGTAATTCCAGGGGATCCCCAGGTCCCACCTGGAGGCTAGAATCCCTAGGGATTCCCCATGGGGCATTTGTGACCTACCAAGAAAAAAAATGGCCTGAAAATCTATTTACAAGGCATCCAATCTAATTAGAGAAAGCAGGTGGCTCCCAAAATATCTGCTAAGCCCCAGCCCTGGAACTAGGAGTTGCCAGATTTTCAAGCAGCCCCTTGGACAGAAGCTTGATTTGTAGGAGTTAACAGGTGGAGCTGTTTAGAGAACTGCTCCAGCCCCAGTTGAAACATTTGCACCCCTGATGGTAGACTGAGCCACTATTAAAGGCACAGCTGCAGGAACTGCCTTATCTTTGAGCAACCTTCAGTAAAGCACTTTCCCCTCAGCATGAAGCCTTACAAAAAGCTTCACATATGTGTGTTTAAGAGACAAGGCTGCCTCCCCAAAAGACATGCCTCTCAAGTATGCCTTAGCACCTCTCCCTCTTTTTAGAACTGCTGCTCTGTAGGTCTTGTATAGCTATACCTACATAGAATACCTGCCCGTCTGCAGTACCTTTCATTTTACTTGCAAACGCCACCACCACACACCCCGGTTACTTCACCCCTTTGACTGATACCAGAAGAAAAGTTTCACCGTTTGCAGGGAAAACTTTCTGCCTACCCTGAGATCCGGACAGTCCCCAGCAGGTGGAATGCAGAGGTGACCAGTGGGTAAATGTGTCTTTGTGCTGAGTCTCTCTCCAAGGGAACTGATCCAGATGGGTACCTGGTGAAATCTTTACTTTCCTCAGGAAGTGTGCTGTGTGCCACTGTAGAGTCACATGACAAAAACTGGATTCTGTGCAGGACAGATCCCTCCCCCCCAGCATTATTGACAGAACAGTAGGAAGAGATGGTATGCAGATTCCTAAGAGTTTAGTTATTCAGTGGGACAGTAAGAATCTCAGTTCTGTAACCCGACATGTAGGAATTTAATAGGTGAAACATTTCTTGAATGGGAGAACAGTGCCCGGAAAAACTTCATCAGAATTTCTGTTTGTCATACAGCTGTTAAAGCGCGGGAGCCACACCAGGGGGGGGGGAATTGGCAGTTCTATTTTCTTTTTAGAAATGAAATTTGACAATCCCAAACAAATTGACTTGGATGGGAGTCTCACTGAAACCAATGGAGTAAACCAAGTTAGGAGTGGGATGTAAACTGGCTAGCGTAACCCCAGGGTTGTGTGTTGCAGGCCTTTCCTTCAAAGACGACATACGAAGCAGCTTTATACAGATTCAGACCATCTTGTTTAATATTATCTGCTCTGACCAGAGTTTCCAATAGACATGGACAAAGTTCCCTCTAAGCTGTGGCGTCTTGTGAGCAAAAATTCTACTTTGTGGCATTAAAGTTGTGAGCAAGCGATTTAGCTTCTGCATAAATTAGTTTGCTCTGGAGCCATCCTTCCTGAGCTAAGACAAAAATGAGTGAGCCAGAGGCTAAAAACCTGTGAGATGGCTCACACTAACTCAGCTTAGAGGGAACACTGGACATGGAGAAACAAAGAACCTGTTGCTTTAATAGTCTTAATGGAATGATATCTAGCAGCTGCCCTGACCAATGCTCCTTCTAAGCTGTGGAGTCATGTGAGCAAAAATTCTACTTTGTGGCATTAAAGTTGTGAGCAAGCGATTTAGCTTCTGCATAAATTAGTTTGCTCTGGAGCCATCCTTCCTGAGCTAAGACAAAAATGAGTGAGCCAGAGGCTAAAAACCTGTGAGATGGCTCACACTAACTCAGCTTACAGGGAACACTGGCCCTGACCCAGATAGCCCAGGCTAGCCTCATCTTGGCAGATCCTGGAAGCTAAGCAGGGTTGGCTCTGGTTAGTATTCGGATGGGAGACCACCAAGGAATATCAGGGCTGCTACACAGAGGCAGGCAATGGCAAACCACCTCTGAACATCTCTTTCTTTGACAGGGCAGCACTTTCTACAACTTATCAGGTGACCTTAACCTGCATGCCAAGAAAAGCTTCAACTGCCCATTTCTAAACATGAAGCCTTGATTATAAAGGCAGGACATTTTCCCCTACAGGCCCACTGGGAACCCTAGCTCTGCCTGGCAGCTGCTCTTGGCCAGAGAAAGGTATTCACAGCACCTGCTGCTTGAAAGCCTTTAACTGGAGATCCCAGGGGCTGAACACAGGGCCTTCTGTATGCAACAGGGAGCTTCTTCCAGTGAACTGTGGCCCATTCTGGTCCTGATCTTGTAGCACTTGACATGAATCAAGTGTATTATTGCCCTGCTTGGATGAGCTGCACCTGTACTTTCTGTGCATTACAGCATCCTATTAAGAACACTGGAGCAGAGCCCAAAACAAAAAAAGTTGGCATCCTGGACCTGAGAACACATACCAACGTGCTCCAGCATGTTTACATCCTTTTTAAAAAAATTCTTTCGGCTGGCTTTAAGAATTCAAACTGTAGCACTATAAAAAGTACTTAAAAGAGATAAGAAACAGCACCCACAGAGACTTCCCTAATAGGAAAAGCCTAGTATGAGGAGGACCATCCTTAAGAGAAGAGCAAAGTGGAGCTGACTCATCCAGTGTCCAGCAGTGAATGTTGTTCTTGTTCCAGTTGTCAGAAGCTCGACTGTGCATTCAGCTTCCCCATAAGGTGGACATCCAATAGGTGAAGCTTTCCTCTAGTGGGGGGATGTTGCACCTCAGCTCAAGTTTCCCACCATGCTTTTAACAGCTTCGCAACAAACCTGCATTTCCTGTTGATTTCCTGCCTCAGGTCTAGCACAAGAGGCGATGGAACCTCGGCAGAGGGGGAAAGGGAGCAGGCAGAGAATGGAATGTTCCCTTTGCGAGGGGAAGGTCAGCTCCTGCTGCATCCCATCAGCAGTGGGATAGAATCTTGCTAATCCAAGTGTCGAAAAACAAGGAGGCCAGGGAAGGGAATACAAAAATTTAAGCAAAAATGCTTCCTTGTATGGATCTCTCTTTGAGGGATCGGTAGATGTGGATCTGGCTCAGGGGGAGCCCTAGTCTATTAAAGAATAAAAAGCAAACAAGCCCATGACTGCCTGCCCATGGACAGTTTGCATTGATTCTGCTTTTAACAATTGGACACTAAAGAGCAGGGCGACTGGGTTCCCCTCTGTCCTGGATTCACTAGAAAGGCTTCGACAAGTGCTGATGCCAACTGCCTGGTTGGGGGGGGGATGTCCTGTCCCTTTAATAAGGGCTTAATGGGTAGAAATGGGCCGCTGAAGTGTTTCATGGCATGGAGGAAAGCAATATCACCATCAGCCAAACAACCTGCCATTGCATCTCTGTTAAAGGGGCAGAACAGGTTTCCTCCAAGCAATTGGCACTCCTAGTCCTGGGTGAGTCACCCTGCTGCCTTCCATGCATGTACAGCAACCAGCGATGCCTGCCCACAGCCAGTGGTCAGAACTTTGACTCACAAGCTTGTAAGGAAACTGGCAAAACCAGTTTAAAAGCAGTTAAGTGGAATATCTTCCTCACCCACAAGTGCAACACCCTTCTGACGTTCTTGGGATTAGGTTTGGCCACATTTGTCCATTTATTTCACAATTAGCCCCACATCAGCCCCCACCCAGGGACCATCCACATCCAGTAACTATGACTGCCTTGAAGAAATCTCATGCACAGGAGGACTGGCTGGTATTTAAGCACAACAGCCTGTTTCTTGTGCACTGTCGAATATCTATGATTGCCAACTGGCCAGGTCTGGTCTGTAGCTAGACCTTTGTCAACCAGGTGTGCAGAAACCAGCAGGTGGAAGTTTTTCCAGCCGTGGAGAAAAGCACCTGGTAATGTGATGTTGTTGCTAAAGGCACAGGAGCCAGGGTCAATTAACAAGTTGGCAACCTTATTCATGATACTAAATGAAATGAGGGCACTTCTGCCCCTGGGTTGCCAGTGTGGTGCAGCAGCAAGAATGCTGGACTAGGATCTGGGAGACCCAGGTTTGAATCTTTCCTCTGCCATGGAAGGTTGCTGGGTGACCTTGGGCCAGTCACAGCCTCAGCCTAACCTACTTTACAGGGTTGTTGTTGAGAAAATAAAATGAAGGGGAAGAAAGGGGAGGAAGTCACTTTGGGTTCCCACTGGAGGAAAGAGCAGGGTATAAATGAACTTTTTTTTTTACTGTTCTTGCTCCCATGCCTTCACCTGAAGCCTGACATATAAAAACAAAGAAAATGTTTCCTGGCATGGAATGAAAACTCTGGGAAATGCTTTCCCTGCTCTCATGCTGCTGTGAAAAGCAGGGGAGCAAGGCCCATTAAAAAAAATTTAGCAGCCATACTTGGATGTGGAATCTTGCTTACCAAAAGTTTTGTTTCTGTTTCACAGACATGTATTTCTAGATTACTCAAGCGTTGTGCGGGCTGCTAAGAAATGCCTTTTTTTTAAAAGGGGGGGGGAGGACAACAATATTCGCTCAGAACAAAAATATGAAAGGGAGGAGCAGAGTTTTGTTATCATACTTCCAAATAAGATTATATGGCATAAGCTAAGGAGGCTGTGGGTGTTTCACTCCAGGCCACTGGAAACCCGTGGGTGGCCCTGCATAGTATCGGGTGCCATAGCAACTGACTGTGATGGGCAAGGAAAGCAAAGCCAGCCAGCCTACGTACTTTGGCAATATATACACGCTAGAAGCAAAACCGAACGCCAGGCAATTTCCTTTACTGAAATAGCGGCTTCTTAAGATACACAACTCCTCCCACCTTTGTAAAGGATCAGGGAAGGGGGGGAGGCTGGTGCTCTCCTGCCTTCCCTCCCTCCCTCCCTCCCTCCGAGGTCATTCAAGTACTCAGGAGTAAGACAAAAATAGAGCTTTATTTGAAGGGCAAATGCAACTGGAGATGCTGGCCTGGCCTCATTTGTGCACTTGTGCTGCCAGGAGGAGGGGAGCCGGCCTTTACCACCGTCACAAATGGCACAATACACATTTATTTACAAGGGGGGGGGGGAGCATTTGTGATTTAAGAAACAGGATGCATACAGTCCCAGAAGAGCCCACCCTTGGGCACGTGAAAACTGCACAAAACTACAAGCCCCGTCAGAGATGGTGACCCCCTCCAGTCCCCTAATTCCTCAGTGATGGCAACTCCCATCACACCTTGGGAGCAGCTGGGATTCAGGGAACCAGTTCTGCAAGGCCAGTGGCTACCCTAGAAATCTAGCAAGGGGCCAGAGAGCTAAATTCCCATGTAGGCGCTTTGGGGAGGAGGAGAACGGGTTGCTCCCTTTCCACAGCCATCCCAAAACCAAACAGACAGTAAAAAATGGACACCCAATGGACATCCCTCACCAAAGCTGGGCTTATGGCCTTCCACAGGCTGGTCCTACTGCTTTGGCCAATCACTGTCCTTTCGTCAAGTGGAGATGCTGTGGCCTCCACAGCCAGTGGCCAGTTATGGGCAACAAAATGGGAGATGGACAGATAATGTCTCAGGCAACGCTCCCCCCTCCCCCTCAGCTTACTAGAAAACAATGACGTGAATACTGGCACAAACATTTGTTCCCCGAAAGCACAGCCATCCTTGTTGAATGTGGCCATCCAATGGTCAGCTGTTTACCTAACAGCTTAGTCCTCAACTACAGTGCCATGGAAGGGTCAGTTCATTAATTACGTTTCCCCCTAAACCCAAGAAAGGAAATGCACATGCGCCCGTGTTTGAAAGCTACATGAATACTGACCCTTTCCCCCTTCCCCAGTAACACACCATGAATGTGTGTCCACGCAGCATATCAGGTAGCCATTTGCCCATACAAGAATGACAAGCCAATGCTGGTACAGTTTCCAAACATCTGTTTGGGGGGAAATGTAATGTGTGAAATAACTTGGAGCCAAAAACAGGGAAATGAAAAGACAGCTTAAAAAGGGGATTCTACGCTTGCAGATAAATCATATGATGCAGAGTTACATTTCAAACTGCAGGTGGGCAGGAGGGAGTTGTGTATTTGAACTCCCTCCTGTGTTTGTGTGGAGGACCTCCCTGCATGCAGAAACCTAACATGTCAGGGAGAAAGCTGGAAGCCATTCCCTGACATGCTACCTTTTATATTGGGGGGGGGGGGAGAATTCAGACATGTAGTCCACCATCAGCAGAATGAAATGGTACAAGCCAAAGAATCTGATTTCTCTGCATGGGCAGAGCAGCCCTTATTTGCTTCAGAACGTGCTGTAGCCCTGCCACATCTACACACACACAGTCACACACATTGATATTATATCACTCTGCGGACAGTAATACTGACACCACCACACCAGTGGGTTGAAGAGATGGCCTTTGAAAGAGGACGGCAGTCAACAGTTGGGGGGGGGGACCTATAATGCATTCACCCAGGCTCCAAAGTCTCCATTAATCACGCAAAGGCAAGTGTCTTATGTATTCCATTCTGGGTAGGAAACAAAATGTGGAAGTATACTCAAAAACTGCACACAAACTGGTAAAAACAACCACAGTCACACGTCCCAGGGGGCTGCTGTGCTCTGTCCAGCAGAGCGAAGCAGTGAAGGAATACCCGCCCCCAAGGTGGCCAGGGGCGTACACCATCCATGCAAGGACTGCAAGGGATGTGCGTGCGTGCCCACCCACCCAGAGACATTTAATTTGCTCTGCCCAGCAGAGGGCAAACTTACAAACAGATACCATTGCACTAGACTCCCCACCTGGCAGATGGCAGTGGCGAGCAGGAACAGAGACCCCTGATCTTGTGCGATCCTTCGTCTACTTGGGCATGTCCCTACGTGAGAGTTTCTCCACGCAGCTGGATCAGTGCTTCACTATAAATGGGAGAGACAGGGAGCAGCACCCGAGGAAAAGAAAAATGTGCCCCCCCTCCCCCCCCCCCGTGCACCAACACCATGATTCTTTCAGGCTGCTGCATCAGCTGGTGGAGAAAGAAGCCAGGCTGGGTACAGCTGCCATGTAGCTTGCAGGGATCAGAGGTGCCAGCCAGCACCTTCGACACCTGACATTTAACTCCCCCCCCCCAAAAAAAACCCCCTTTTGCCCCAGTCTTAAGTGTAATAGTTAACCTTCCATCTGGAGAGCAGCAAGAAAAGGCGGTCTGCACATGGCCAGGTTAGTTCTGTGCCTTTGGTTCATGCCTTCCCCTGGGAAGAGCACTTTGACCGGGACGTCTAAGTAAAAACCCTCCCCCTCCCCCTTCCCAATTCCTTTTCAATAATCCAAACCAGTTTTCTAAATCTTTCTTTCTGAAATAGGTCAGAGGGAGCAGGCGGCCGCCTCTATCGTTCCAACATGCTGCCCCTGGGAAGAGGGGTGGGATGGCTCTCTGCATCCAGAAAACTGGCACGCCAGGAAGGATAGGCTTGGACTACCCTCCCTGGCAGGCGAGCTTTTCGTAGGCAGAAAGAGTCTTTTTTAAAAAAAAAAGCGGGGGAGAATTTAAGCTCGCTGCTCTTCCGCTGCAGCAGGCAGAGGAGGTATTTGCCCAGAGCCCTCTTGCTCTTGCCCCGTGGAACAGTGTAGGGCAACGTGAGGGTTAATTACCTGGGGAGGCTAAACCCTCCCCCAACACTCTTCTGGCTGCTAATCAGCACCGCCTTCTCTCCCACAGGCTGCAAGGGCAGCTAATATGGCATTTGGCAGAGGACAGACACGTGGGCTTGCCCAGAGCTCAGGCGGGATTTAACTGTGACGCTGGCTGAGGGAAGCGAAGTCACCTGTGGGGACTCTGCCCTGGCACAAGGCCTTGTGGAAACTGGGACGCTACCTGCGCGGAGCCAGTGCCCTATTTAAACACAAGGCCCCACGGGAGAGTGCTTCTGCCTCCGCCGGGCTCCCGTTTCACTCGGGGCTGAGCAGCCACAGTCCCAGCCGGCCTGACGGGAGCCCCAGTTCAGTCTCGCTTGGCTCGCCTGCCCCAGGGACGCCAGCAGCTGGCGATGCGGTCACAGTGGTGGTACATGAAGACCCCCAGGAGGGTGAGGGCGATGCCCGCGTAGCCCAGCAGGGTCAGACGGCTCCCGAAGAGCGCGTGGGAGAGCAGGAGGTTCCCCACCACGTTGAAGTTCCCGAGGATGTGGATGGTGAGGGCGGACGTCAGAGAGATGACGCAGAAGCTGGCCAGGTTGTAGAGCACGGAGCCCAGGCAGCTCAGCAGGATGCAGAGCCAGAGGCTGCTGCCGGAGGCCAGCGTGCCGTCCCAGGAGGGGCCGACTTCCAGCAAGAGGGCCGCCGTGAAGAGGATATAGAAGCTGGGCAAGGAGGTCAGGCACAGCAGAGTCGGAGAGTCCATCCGCTCCTCCTGCAGCAGGGTACCTGCAGGGGGAAAGCAAGAGAGTGTCGCAACGAGAGCTTTCAACCAGGACTGGGACACCTACTTATCCATAAAACTCACTGGCGCCAGGCAGGCAGTCTCTCTCTCTCTCCCTCTCTCTCTCTCCCCCCTAGCGTACCCTGTAGGGTTGTTGTGAGGATACCACAGAGGAGGAGTCGGCCATGGAGGCTACCATGAGCTCTTCAGAGGAGAAAGCAGGAGAAGGCGTCATCGGGTTACGGTTGATTCATGGTGACCCCTTCCATTGAGCACTCCAGGCGAGGGACGAGCAGAGGTGGTTTGCCACTGCCAGCCTCTGCAAAGCAACCCTGGACGTCTTTGGTGGGCTCCCATCCAAGCACCAACCACGGCTAACTCTGCTTAGCTCCTGAACTCTCATGAGCTGGGGTTCAGCTGGGCTGTTCAGCCTGGAGGAAGGCTGGGGCAGCTGCTAGAACCCAGTCCTGAGGATGCGAGGGGGTACGTGTCCTGCCAAAGCCAGCTCATGTTAAGGCTGGGGCAGGAGGGGAGGGAGAGGGTCGTTTCTCATAGGATGCCCAGCAGTCTGATCCCCCTTCGGCACTGTGCGGGAACGCAGAGGCCGGCACAAACCCGCTGTCTTAGAGCACTGGTGCTGGAAACAGGGCCACAGCCTCCACTGACCAGGAACAGAAGGGATCCCTTCCTGGAATGAAGACATGGACTTCCATGCCATACGCAAATCAGAGTACAAAGCAGCCTTGGCTGGCTCGTGAAACTGCCTTATACTGAATCAGACCATCGGTCCATCAAAGTCATGATCATCTATCTGTTTGTAAGACGCCCTTTTAGCCAGGAAAGGAGAGGAAGCCACCTTGTACGGCCAACTTGGAGTGCCCTAAACGGTGCTAGGGCAGAAAAAGCCAGATGAAATCATCCTGCCACTGGCATAGCAGGCTCTTGCACCGTTCCCATTCATTTCCATCAAGCTTACATAGGGGAATGCCCTGGGTATATTGTGTCCCGTGTGGATGGATGGGGGGGGGGGTGGCCATCAGTGTGTTCTGCCTCAGCTACCCAAACTGGCTGAGATCAGCCTAGGAAAGATGAATGGTGCTGGGCATGGTGGGCGGGGTGGGGGTTGCCAGAAGTAGATCAGGGCAAGTCCCCTAGGGTGGGGGGCTTCTCTGACGCAGCTGAAGCACAGTAAGATGGGGCTCGATGAAGCATAAAAGCTATGGGGGAGTTGGACCCACACCCAAATTTCTGGAAAAGTGAATAGCTAACACACACACCCCCCCCATTTTGTCCTTGCTGTCTAGACCAGGGGTGGGTAAGGGCATAATACCATGACAACTGAGACAGAGCTAGATGGGTAGCCGTATTAGTCTGTCTGTGGCAGTAGAAAAGAGCAAGAGTCCAGGAGCACCTTAAAGACTAACAACATTTGTGGCAGGGTAGGAGCTTTCATGAGTCACGGCTCACTTCTCCAGATTGCAACTGAGTCTCAGCTGCCCTGGCACACAACACAGGGCTGCAGCTTCTACACACGCTTTCAAAGTCGTGATAAACTGTGTGTATTCCACTGCAACTCCCCAGGCAAAAATGCAGCATTTCACAAGAATCACTGCCTTTCTTTCTACTTCAGCATAGGACTAAAAGAAGGGATTCATTCATTTCATTTGACAAGCCTTTATCGGCATACGTATATACATACGATAGGAGATCAGATTAAATATAGATCAGAAAATACAAATCCATATAGGGTAAAATTGGGAGCTACGGCGCAGAAAAAAATCATGAAAGCAGAAAAACCTAATGGTTACTTATCAGAACGTATAGCCATAGCTCTAAGAAGAAACCTTGCTACTATTTCGGTTATTTCTGCAGAAAGAGAACCTTAAAATCATCAGGAATTTCTGAGAATTGAGCTAATATAGGATACAGAAGATCCTGGCGGGGCAACAGATAAAAGGGACATTGAAGGAGAGCATGTGGGAAAGAAGAGATTCAAACACTGGCACTGTAGAAATAACTCTGTGCTAACTTTCTGCCTTTAGAACAGCTCAAACCTGCATGAACTATGGGCTGGATCCAACCAACTTTTACACTGATGAAAAAAGGGGGGGGGAGGGTCCCCTTTGATCACCTCCAAGATCCTGGGACCTGCAAAGACAAAAGCCACGTGCGATGGAAGGAGCAGTAGTAAGGAGGGGAATTAAATGAGGAGGAGGAGGAAGAGATTGGATTTATATCCTGCCCTTCACTCGGAGTTTCAGAGTGGCTTACAATCTCCTTTCCCTTCCTCTCCCCACAACAGAACCCTGTGAGGTTGGTGGGGCTGACAGAGCTCTTTCGAGGACTGCTCATGAGAGAACAGCTCTGAGAGAGCTTGTGACTGACCCAAGGCCCCACCAACAGCTGTATGTGGAGGAGTGGGGAATCAAACCCGGTTCTCCCAGACCAGAGTCCGCGCTCCTAACCACTACACCAGCCTGTCTGTATCCAGCCCTATGTAAATCAAGCAAACTTGCATAATTTCTCTTTGCGTAATTAGCGTTTGTTACGGTGCATCATTTAGTCAGACTTAGTTACGGGGAGAGGCAAGGACATTCAATGGGCACTGAGCCGCCACCCTTATAATCGCACACTGCTGGTCTCCGAGATGTGACCAGGCCTTGCCACGTTCTTTCAAACTTATCTAGCCATAAGGACTAGAAACGTATTCTCCTTTAAAAACGGAAGCCGGGATTCTACCCCTACAGTGCTCCGGCAGGCTCATCTCGCACTCCTGGACACACACCCACACACAGACCAAGGCACGACTTACTCTGCTGGATGGACTTCAGCCCACGGAGGAAAGTAGCAGCAAAGAGGAAGCAGCATCCGGCTTGATCGAACTGCACCTCCCCAATGATGCTCAAGGAGGCCCCCAAGCAGATGGGCCCCATGGCGGCGTACTGCAGCGGGTGGTGGTGCTTCCCCAGCAGCACCTTGGAGAGGGTCAGAGTGAAGAGTGGCGTGGTGGTGTACACCATCTGGGCAAAGTCCAGCTGCACGTAGTTGAGGCCCAAGTTCCCAAAAGCCACACTGGCACAGAAAGTCAAGCTGAGCAGGAAAACCCGGGCCTTGGCCTCGGGGCCGAGTGTGGGGTTCCCGCTCCCCCCGGCCCGGAGCCTGGCCAAGGGTTTGCCCACCACCACGCCGGTCAGCATGTGCAGGGACGACAGCAGCACGGGGTACCGGAAATTGTGGACAGCGAAGATCCACTTGTTGAGGCTGGACATGGTAGTGCCCGTGACCAGCCAGACGAAGACGGTGGCCACGAGGGGGACAGCGCGCAGAGACGGAGAGGAGGGCCTCTGTCCGCCATGCTGCCCTGGATCCGGCTTCCAAGGAGAGCGTGGCCACGCTCCATCGGCAGAGTTCATTCCGGCGTCATCTCTCCTCCGAGAGGGCAGGCACATTGGGGACGGCAGCCTCCTACCGACGGGAGCGAGTCCCTTTCCGAGCAGCTCTGCGTCCGGAGGCACCCGAGAGGAGGAGGAGGAGGAGGGTCCCTTTAGATCATATTCCCATCGTGCCGCTGCAGCAGCAGCAGGCTCTCGCTCCTCGGCTGACGGCCTCTCGGCAGACCGTGGTTCCTCCTCCTGTATCTTTTCCAGGAGTCACTCCCAGTGACTCACCAGGATGATGTTTCCAACTCCGGCTCGGTGAGGCTCCCTGGCTTGCTTGGAAGTGTCTCTGTAGGACCTGGAACTGAAGGAGAAGAAACGGCAAGGAGCTGGAACTGGGGGGAAGTCTGCTTCACGCGGAAGGCAAGCGGTCATCTCGGCTCCCACCGTCCTCTGCCTTCGCTCTGGCGAGGCAGCCGTCCAGGGACTGCTTGGTGTGGGATGGGTCCCGGGGCAATTCCATGGAACTGGTTAGATGACCAACGAGCCTGCAATTAAAACCCAGCAAGGCTCTTCTGCTTTATTACCAGCCTGCCCTCCTTCTCCCCTGGCTGAGCTGGATCCCTTGCAGCTGCCGCCGGCTGCCTTTTGCCGGGCCCTGGGCAGACAGATGCCAGACAGAGAGGAGCAAGTGGAAAGTCTGAGGGTTCCGTGGTTGGTGAAAAGCTCCTCCTCTGGCACAAGCGGGCAGTGCAACCGCAGCAGCTACAGCCGATGAGAGCGTGTGTGCGTCCCTAAAGTGAATGAGTCCAGGAAGCCGGTGCTCTCTTCTGTGGGCCCGCCCAGGGCGACTCATCCGTTGCTTTCTCCTGTGGGAGGAAGAAGGGCGGAGTGAGGCAGGGAAAAAACACTCACCCATACAAGAGTATCCAAAACAAGCAGGCACTGTGGAGACACACAAGAACCTTGCAGGGACTGTGCCAGCACCCCTTCCAGGGTGGCAAAAAGGGGGACTGAAGCGAGGTTTCTTTGTGTGCCAGGGTTCAGCCTGCCCTCTGTTTTCAGTGTTAGGGCTCGGCCTTGGGGGAAAACAAGGTGCAGACGATGGAGATGCTCCTTTTATTTATATCCTGCTTTTCTCCCGAGTTGCGAGGACCCAAAGCAGCTTATCAGATTGCTCTCCCTTCTTCCACCCTCTCCCTCCAACCACCACTTTGTACGGTAGGTTAGGGGGAGAGATTGTGATGGGCCCAAGATCATCTGGCTGGCTTCCACATGGCACAGCGAGGATTTAAACTTGGCTGTCTCAGGTCCCGCTCTGCTACTCTAAGTACTGCCCCCTGCTGGCTATTCCTAGCACCTGATGAAGGGGGCTTGCACACAAAAGCTGATACCCAGAATTAAACTTTGTTGGACTTAAAGGTGCCACTGGGCTCAAACTTTGTTCTGTTTGCTTCAGACCAACACGGCTACCCCACCGGAATCTACCACACCTCTGAATAACCGCAGAATGCTTTTCCTTTTCTACTGTGTAATGACAGAGTCCCCTCCCACCCACCCACCCCAAGAAATCAGACTTGAAGGAAGGAACTCTAAGCATGTCCAGATGCCGCCTCCTCCTCCTCCTCCTCCTTCTCCTCCTCCTCCTCTTTTTCTAAATAGTAAACATTAGGCTAGGCCAGTCAGGAAAACACCCTAACAGGAAACAATGTAGTCTTAACTGGAAATGAGACCCTGATGCTGAACCTGTGGAACCAGAACATTTGAGGTGCAGGCGTGTAAAGGGTCTGTGTGTTTTTAAAGTATTTTTTTATATGTGCATCTGCGTGTGTGCGAGTCCGTGTGCCATGGCAACTTCTGGTGACTGACCCCTACTAGGGGCCTGGAGAATATTCAGGGGTTCAAGAAAGCCTGTCCCCGCCTCTGGTATTCCCATGAGGTCTCCCATCCAAGGAGTTGCCAGAGTTGGCCCTGCTTAGCTTCCGAGATCTGACGAGATCAGGCTTGCCTGGGCTATCCAGAAGAAGAAGAAGAGAAGAGACTGGATTTATACCCCGCCCTTCACTACCCAAAGGAGTCTCAGAGCGGCTTACATATCTCCTTTCCCTTCCCCTCCCCACAACAGACACTCTGTGAGGTAGGTGGGGCTGAGAGAGCTCTTTCGAGAACTGCCCTTGAGAGAACAAGCTCTGAAAGAACTTATGACCGGCCCAAGGTCACACCAGCAGCTGCATGTGGAGGAGTGGGGAATCAAATCCGGTTCTCCCAGGTTAGAGTCTGCGCTCCTTACCACTACACCAAACTGGCTCAGGTCGGGGCGGTGTGTAAGGTTTGACCTTGTATATTATTGGAGTTTATCTGAGAAGCCAACAAAAGGCCCACGGACCTAATGGCTGACCCACAGAAGCATGAGCCGCCCACATCCCCTTCTGATCACCACAAGTTGGCAAGAAAAAGTTTCAATTTAAATATGCAGATGCAATTGAGAAAACACACACATTTTGTACAAGAACTTAACTTATTCCTCACACTGGTGGGGAATGGCATTTCCTGATTAAAAGTGCAATGCAAACAAACATTTAAACCAATGCTTTTCTCTGGAACATGCAGTGATCACAAGGGCAGCTGCTGGCTCCTCGTGCCTCTATACATTTCGCTGAGAACAGCAGCATTTTAAGCTTTCAATGAAGGTGTGAATCAGCCACCAGATTCACAAAGACTTTGAGCATGCACGCAGATCCAGAAAGTAAATTACGTGCATTTAATAGCCGCAACACAAATTACCTACAAACAAAAGAAAGCTAATTTAGAGCAAAGGTTCATAGATTTTGTCCTTCCAACAAAATACCTGCATGCCAGCCATACCAAGACCTAGTTCCAAACATTTCTTTTAAATGTGTTGTTAAAGGCTTTCACGGCCGGAGTTCATTAGTTGCTGTAGATTTTCCGGCCATGGCCACACATCCTGGAAAATCTACAGGAACTAATTTCTTTTAAAGACTGGACTTTGCCTGAATTTCTCTAGAGGCTCAGTGAAAGACACGGCATACAGCTTCCTTTCCATTCCCATAGTGGGTAAAAGTCTGGAGACCCAGTCAGAACATGAAGCAAGATCATGCTCAGTTTTGCTAAGGCCTCTTTAACAAATCTTTCAGGCTTATGCTCAGTAAAAAAAACAAAACCCCCAGCTTGGCCATTTCTACCGACCTCTGCTCACTGCAACTGACCCATAACAATTCTGGACTGGGCACAGGGCTGCTGATCTTGGGCTGGTGGGGAGAGGAATCACTTCTCTAAAAACTGGTTCCCACTTAAAAGCTGGTTAATAAGACCGTGAAGGCAGATTTGCATTTGTCGCTTTAATGTGTGCACTTGTTTTTCTGCCAGTTATCTAACAGGTGTGAGAAAATAAAACCACAGTTGGTCAGGGCTGCTAAGCAGCCATCAGTGCAAAAATAATAATTGTGAGCCATCGAGTTGCAACCGGCTCATGGTGACCCGGAGACCAGGGGTTTTCAGGGCAAGAGATCAGACTGACATGGGGAATTAGCTTGTGTGTTTGTGCTAGGAGAGGGAAACCAGGCTAAGAGTACTGAGTTTCAGTAGGAAAAGATGGCAGAACTTGACTTAAAAGTTTTAAAAGGAATATGGGGTTAATTGAGGGATTGGTACAATGTGTGTGTGTGTGTGTGGGGGGGGTTATCCTAGCAAATACTAAACCAAAGCACAAACAGCAAATTCCTTATTGAAATAAACTATGTAAGAACCACCATAAAAAAAAAAATCAAACGGAGCTACTATAATTTGGAGCAGGAGCTACTTTTAAGCTAGATGCATAAATGTGGGGAAAACGAGGAAAAAGGATAGAGAAGTGGGACTTTTGGGACAGAGGCACCCAATCTTTCAGATGAGAGGCCTAAATAGCAGAGAGGAGCAAAACTCTCTGTGTGGTGCAGTGCAGTTGGGCAAATAAATGGAGATAGATCAAGATGGAGAACAAAGACATACCTTTCCTAGCCTGCGTAGAAATTAGGTGAAAGAAGGAAGGATCCAGTGCATTGCAATCCAATTTGTCACCAGGATCAGACTCAGTGATTTCAGCATGGAAGAAGACCAGCCATGAGGCTGAAGTGCCAGGTAGGATCTGGAAGGCAGCTACAAAGGCTTGGGACCTGAGTGACGGCTTTTATGCACCTTTAGCAGTATTGAGAAGGGGACAGTCTGTCTGCTGTGACAGGATTGGGTTTTGGCTAGAAACTTTGAATCTTATTGGAAGGTTTGAATTTTAGGGGAGTGGAAGACAGAAAGAACTCCAAATACGGGCAAGATTAGCCATGCTGAAAGGATGGGAAATATCAACCTGGGGTGATTAGGCCCAGAATACCAGCTTGGTCTGGTTTAGCAAAGGACTACGCACAGTTTGATGGTCTTTCTTGGGTCTATGATTAAATTACTGGAGTGGCAAGCCCGATTAACAAAGGTGAGGAGCATGGCCATGGTGACTGGTCTCAATTTGTGATTAGGTTTCCAGGGTACTTTCCATTGAGAAGCAGATTCCTGGGTGGACTAAGAAGGCAACTTATTCTTCTGCAAATCTGGATCATTAATTATGGCCTGAACCTTGATGAGCCCTCAGGAAGCCAAAGAAGAGGACTATTGTCAAGGGAGTGTCCTGCCTGGGGTGGGGCAATGGGCCACTCCCCTGAGCATCAGCTTTTCTGTTGCCCACAAGCCTGATCTCAGTTTCTCAGCTTTAATTTCAAACACAGCTTCCCTTCCACAATCTCAGACAGCATGTGGCCTGAGAAGCCATGAAAGTGACCCAAAACACAGCTCCTGACTCAGGTCTGCTTTCAGGGTTATGTGCCATCACCTCCCTCTGCATAGCAACCCCAGTCTTTGGTGGTCTCCCATCCAAGTACTTTTATTGAAGTCATATGTGACTAAGGATTGGTTCTCCTTTTGCACACAGATCTTCTGATTTCTGCACACTCAATTACTGTATCCTTGGGCCTGGTTTACACTGGCGACTCCACCACTAAGTGACAACTTCCATGTGCCTAACCTATAATATTTTGGTTTTGCCCCTTTCCCAGGAGCTCAGGTAGGGTTGCCAACCTCCAGGTAGTGGATGGAGATCTCCTGGGATTAGAACTAATCTTCAGGCGACAGAGATCAGTTCCCCTGGAGAAAACAGCCGCTTTGGAAGGTGGACATTATGACCTTATACCCCATTGAAGACCCTTCCCTCCCCAAACCTCACCCTCCTCAGGCTCCACCCCCCAAAACTCCAGGTATTTCCCAACCTGGACCTGGCAACCCTAAGCTCAGACCAGCACACATGTTTTTTGCTTTCTCCACCATATCCTAACAACAACCCTGTCAGGTAGGCTGTGATGGAAGAGAGTGACGGGCTCCAAGGTCACTCACTGAAGTTTCATGACAGAGTGGAAAACTGAACCTGGGTCTCCTCAGTCCTAGTCCAGCATTTGAACTACTGCACTGCGATCACGCTTGAAAATATGAATGGGACCATAAGAGACAAGACTTTTCCGTTAAGCTTCAGATCACCGCAAATCATTGTATACCCTGAGTTGGAACATGTGTCGAGGCCCAGGGTGGGTGAACTCCACTCCCAGGAAATAGCTGGGTGGGGGAGGGCTGCACCAGTGAGTAGCACATAGCAGGGAACAAGGGCAGGAAAAGGAGGTGTGACCAAGGGGTGCAACCCCAGGTAGAGGAGGAGAGAGGGCACCTGACACTAGACAGACAATTTGGTGTAGTGGTTAAGAGCGGCAGCCAAGACTCTAATCTGGAGAACCGGGTTTGATTCCCCACTCCTCCTCCACATGAAGCCAGCTGGGTGGCCTTGGGCCAGTCACAGTTCTCTCGGAGCTCTCTCAGTCCCACCTACCTCACAGGGTGTCTGCTGTGGGGAGAGGAAGAGAAAGCGATTGTAAGCCGCTCTGAGACTCCTTCGGGTAGTGAAGGATGGGGTATAAAACCAACTCTTTTTCTCTGCCTGGGGTCCATCAAAACCTTGAACTGGCTGTGTCTAATGGAATGCTTTCCAGTGGAAACAGTCTGTATGTTCACATCTGCACTGTTGTATGACATTCAGCTCTCACCTACCGTACAAAAATCCAGTAAGGCATGTATGTGCATGTGTGAGCCACACCTTGACAGCTGGCAGTTCATTACAGCAGACTGACTTTTTCAAACAGGACAGCACTGCGGTTGACTCTGCATGATCATCCAAGAGCCAGATTGGTGTAGTGTTTAAATGTGCGGATTCTAATCTGGGAGAACCGGGTTTGATTCCCCACTCCTCCACTTGCAGCTGTTGGATGACCTTGGGCAAGCCATAGTTCTGGCAGAGCTGTTCTCTCAAGAGCGGTCCTTGAAAGAGCTCTCTTAGCCCCACCTACCTCACAGGATGTCTGCTGTGGGGAGGGGAGGGGAGGGGAAGGGAAAGGAGATTGTAAACCACTCAGACTCTGAGACTCAGAGTGAAGGGTGGGGTATAAATCCAGTCTCTTCTTCTTCTTCTTCTACCATTGTCTTTGGCAGCTCATTCACAAGTTTTTACCTGATGAACATGTACGTCTGAACCAATGGATTGCAATAGTTCATAGTTGTTCTGTTTAGTTCTCTCTTTTTTTAGAGGCCTGGATGGTTAATCTGAGAGGGCCCAGTCTCATCCCACATATTTCTTCCCCACAAAACCTCCTAGAAACAAATCCCCACCCATATAAAACTCTCCACAGAGGACAGCACTTTTGTATAACAGAGGGATCCCAGAACCACTTTTCAAAGTCCCAGCTTCGCCTGATAACAAGTCAGACCACTGAGCCCAGAAGTGCCACCTATTCTGCCGGCACCGGCTCTCAAAGATCTTGGGCACAGAAAAGTCCTTCCCAACCTTATTACCAGAAATCCTCCCAGCTAGAGATGGCAGGGTCTGAATTTGGGACCTCATGTGTACAAAACATGGGCTCTCAACTGGGCTAAACCTTTCCCACGCACTTTATGGTCCATATGCCAAACATCATATATTGCCTTTGACAAAGTACAAGGTGTACAGGGAAATCTTCCAAGTGTCAGTCATAAATACATTTGGAAAACCAGGTTTTCCACCCAGGCCATCCTAGAGAGTTGGTGGCATTTAAGAACAAAAAGAAGAGATTGGATTTATATCCCGCCCTTCACTACCTGAAGGTGTCTCAGAGCGGCTTACAGACTCCTTTCCCTTCCCCTCCCCACAACAGACACCCTGTGAGGTAGGTGGGGCTGAGAGAGCTCTGACAGAAACTGCTCTTTTTCAAGAACAGCTCTTATCAGAACTATGGCTTGCCCAAGGTCATCCAGCCAGGTGCAAGTGGAGGAGTGGGGAATCAAACCCGGTTCTCCCAGATTAGAGCCCGCGCACTTAACCACTACACCAAACTGACTCTCTTTAAAGCTGAAGGGAATTTCAGATGAGCAGAAATTTCTCCACTTCAGTGGAGTGAGAATTTACCACCGACAGCAAGGTCTGGGGACAATAGCCTCCCATCCAAGCAAGGCCTTTGAGACAACCAACAGAACCAAGCGGTCCAGCTTTTCCCAGACTGTACCACTTCAGTTTGCAGGAGGAAGCGAGTATGAATAACCAGGTGTGGGGAGTACTCCCTGCACACAGAGAAACAGCAGGTCGGGACTGAACCTCCTCTTCGAGTCTCTTTTTTGGAAAATGGGCACGGACTGGGATTTGTTTTAATTCCATCGGGAAATAGCCCCCTCCCCCCGGCTAAGTGGTCCAGTCCCGGAGAAGCGAGTCTGCTGATTGTACAAAAAGGGGGTGGAAATGCACACGGGTCGCGTCTGAACTTGTTTGCCGCTGCGCTGTAGGTTTGGGAGGGAGGGAGGGAGGGAGGGAGGGAG